AAATTGGGAAGAGGACCAAGAATATGCCTTAGCAGGAGACACACAGGTGATGTCCAGGAAAGGCTGCTGCCCTCGTGGGACTCAGTCACTGACCTAAATGGAAGGAGATGGAACCTGCACACTGGTAGAGAACGAGCTGTCACTGCACTGCATACGTGAGTTTGCACCGCAGACACCTAGCCTTGCAAGACTGAATTAAAGCCTCGCTTTGGCTGTTCTTCCTGTCTCTGAGTCCATCTGGACAGGATATCATGTCTGCATCTTGTACTATGAATAACCACTAGAAAGACAACAATATGTAATGTATTAATAATTGAAAATGTCCTACTAATCGGTTTTGAAGCTGTCTCATTGCTATTTGTTTCTTAAATAAAATTATTTTTTAAAAAATGCTCAAGTAGAAGTAGAAGTAGCATTTGTGATTATGAATTTTTATTTTCTGTGTAATGAACAGCATTTTAAATAATAAATCCAGGATATGGCCACAGCTTAATGACAAATATATAATGATATTAACATATGTGTGTTATTCCTTCAAGAGAAAATATGTAAAGGCTCTTAACTCATGTATTTGTATCATTTAATTTTGTCCAAATTTTCTTAATTAAAACCAGGATTAATTAGGATTATGAAATACTACCAATTAAATGTATAAGTAAATGAACAAGCTACTGTTTGAAATCCTGTGACCATGTCTTAAAATAAAATTTTATTTTAGAGTAGTTTCACAAGTATGCAAAAACTGTAAATGAAGTACAGATTTCCCTTGCAGGTTTATTTCTCATGTAGTTTCCTGTTTTCTTAGCATCTAACATTAACCCTAAGCAAGGTGCTTGAGGTAGCAAGAAAGAGAAAACTAATGTGGACTGGCTTAACCAGATGTAGCAATTATTAATATGTTTCAAGTGATAACCTTAAACAGTATGAGCTGTAGTACAAAACACCTAAATATTGTTGTGTGGTTTATGCAATGAAACACAGTACATTTCAGCTTCCAGAAACAAACTCAGCCACATTCCCCACTGAGCTGACACAGCGGCCTCTCAGGAGGCCTGGACGTTGCAGGCTTCCTTGTGTAGCCCAGATGCAGAAAGAGGCCACAGCACATGAGGGAAGCTGCTCCACTAACCAGGCCCAGCTCAGTGGGCAGGATGTTTGTATGTTTATCATTTGGCACATTTTCTATTAAAACCACATATGACTTACAAAGAGAAGAAAATTTTGTTATAAAACATTCAGCAACTAAGATGGCTATGATGCAGAACTTTCTTATGAATTAAAAAGATCTATAAATCATGAGAGAAGATACCCTGGGTTAACTCACTAAAGCACTGGAGCACCCACGTCATCCACCTGTGTTCCTTCTAGTGTATTGTTAACTGAAGTAAATCAGACCCACATGTGCAAACACTGTACTGTCTTGCTAGTGTGAGAACCTGAAAGAGAAAGACACAATAAATAGATACTGTGAAAGGGAGAGAATCTGTTCAATAGAAAAGAAAAACTGAGATGTGGA